AATTTGCTAGCTTGTGATCCAGAATGTCGAGCACCACTCTATGCAGATATGGTCCAGCCGATTCCACCACTTGCACGTTCTGACACTGCTGCACAGATGCAACGCAATAATGCTCTACAGGGATTCCGTGAGATGTTCACCTCTATTGGTTTGAATGATTATCTACGAGATATGCGTGCTTCTCATCCTCTATTTGCAATTGAAGAAGATATATATCTTCTTTATCAAGCTGGCTATAGCTGGATTCATGCGATGCTCACAACTCCTGAAGATAATGAAGTGTTCAGTTGGCTCGAAAATGATACAAACAAGAGCTTCATGTACGAATATCACAAAACTTTCATACAAATGTTGAACAGTGTCGATGCACCCAGTTCTCATTGGCTATTTAAATCGCCATTTCACAGTTTCTACCTTGATCAATTGCTGCATCACTATCCTTCAGCCAAGCTCATTATAACTCATCGTCGACTTGACGATGTCTTACCATCAATGTGTCGTTTAGCGACTGCATACGTCGGACTCTATTTCGACAATAGCAAGGCTGATGCAGCAATTAACAATCAGACGATTGTGAAGCGAGTGCTACATCTAATGGATACTGGAATTCGTCGTCTTGTTAAATTTCAACGTGATCATCAACATACTTCTTGTTTAAACATAAAATACGATGAACTACTTGCACAACCGATCGATACGATTCGTCGCATTTACAATTACTATGGTCTTGCATGGTCAGAAGAGTTTGAAACAGCTATGGTTGCATGGCTTCGCGATAATCCTCAAGGAAAACAGGGTCGTAATTCTTACACGCTCAACGATTATGGATTGACGCTGAATGGCATTGAACTCCGTTACAAGGAATACATCAATATGTTTCTTAACTCGCAACATTCTTCAAATACAAATTGTAGCAAAGTGGAGAGCGAAAGCTCAATTATTAATTAAACGGAATCACCATGAAATGAGTAGATTATGAATCATCCGCACGAGCCAATTGATCAACTCAAATTATATCTTTGAATCGTTTGTTTGTATACTCTTTGTCCGCAGATTAAAATAAATAAACAATGTTAACTTTTGTATTAAAGTCAGTAAGCAATACTAATGGATGTGGGTAACAGAGAAACATCTACATTCACCCAGTCGTCCACAGCGACCGCCACACCCACTCCGACATCCCACACCCAAAGCGGGCACTATATTTTTCGTTCTTATTCCATTCTTTACTGATGTTTTTCTTAGAGCCCTGTATAGTTGTCTCTATTCCAGAGAAATTTTGCTTTTACCGCCCCGTGAGACAATTTCTATAGTACCAATAATTTTCTGTACAGAAGATTTTTTAAAACTTTCCGAACGGGCGAAACAAGATTTAGAGTACACCAAAATTTTGTCCCACAACATTTGAATCCTTCTTTCTGTCATGTTTTATGATGAATGCCAGTATTGGTATGCACACCAATGATGGAATCATGTAGGCTTTTGTTTGGATCGCATTGCTAAGATCTCGACTTCAGCTGATTTCCTTTTCCATTGATATTAATTTCACTCATATACAAAACATGTATTAATAGGTATTCAATTAGATGAAAAATATATGTTCAGAGCCTGTATCCAACAATCCTATTCTGTATTTGACAAAATTTTCTCCTTGCTTTTATAGGTCAAAGTTTAACAGATTATTTAGTATCAGATACATACATTTTGCTTTTCCTCTGCTTTTCGTAGCGGTATTCACTACTTTTCGAATTCTAAAAAGTGGTAATAATGAACAGCACTAATGAAGTTTGAACTGATTTGACAGCATAGCTCTTTGCATTGTCAAAACTCTATTTTTCTTTTAGTTTTTTTCTTTTGATTTTCTGAGAAATAGAGGACTTTATCATTTTATCAACTTAATATAGAACAACTAAACATAGTGAATGATACATAAAACACTGAATTCAGCGCTACAGATGAATAAGAAAGAGATATAAATTCAATAGTATCTGCATTTGATGGACTCCATAAAGACGATTCCATTCTTATTCTAATGCAAATATTCCGTTTAGAAAATTTAGACAACGATAAAATCTACTACTCAAGTAGACTGCAATTTATTTTTATGCTCTCAGTACTATACTATTAATTACATCTTGAACTTTTTTACACATCAACATTTCAGAATTGAATCAGATGTGTCGAAAATTTATTGATATAACTGTTAGTAAGCTCTTTACGTCATACTAGCAAACATAGGTTTTAGCCGAATGAAATCCATGTGAAGAAGCAAAACAACAAATTTGCTCTCAAGTTAAAATCAGTTGAGGAAACAACTTTCGATTTTAACTATCATTGTTTTATTTTGCTATCTACACAAGAATTGACATCGGAAAGTACACATAATTGTATCAAAAACACACATGCGAAACAGTAGTATAACATAAAAGAGGAAAAAAGACAAAAAAAAATAAACACCTTGATTTTTTCTTTGGAATTGAAACATGACTTATTGCTATTCGCCTATCATCAACTAATTTGTTTTCTTAGAGGCTTGAGCTTGAGTACTATCGTTCGACGCGCTAGAAAATCAGAATTTTGGTTAACATTGTATTTTAGAAAAAGTTGTGTTTCGCCTGCGCTTACTACATACTTTTCATGGCCATCACATCGATATGTCTTTATTAGAGATCATAAATTTGTTCCAAGATGGGTATAATTATCACATAGATCAGATGCATTATAAGTATCCCAACGGGAATTTAATAATGATTTATGTCGTGGATAAACCCAAAAAGTGTTATCACGATCAGAATCGCCATGGTAATACACTTCTGAAATGGCTGTATCTACCTAAAAATTGACAAGGATTCCAGATGAATATATTTGCAATTTTTGAGGACCTAGTCTTGGCTCAACAAACGACTAAACAGAAGAAAAATGAAAAATTATTTGTGCTATCGTATTCGTAGAAAAAACTAGGCTAATCACTTTCGAAATATCTACTGAACACCAAAAGTGCTTCGATCTTTGGTCAATGGTAGTTTATTCAACTACCTTTATGGTAATTATAATTATCACCGCACGTTTTTTGTACCTGGCTTCACTTGTAATTATTAAGAGTCGAAGAGACGAGAAATCTAAATTTTCGTAGCTGAAAACAAAATGTATGCTAAACATAAGGTAACACAAACATATTGATAATTTAGTTTCAAATGAAATGAAGTTGTGCACTGAAGCATAACTCATGTTTATTCATTTTCAGTCCTGTATCATGTCGTTCTCCACTCACTCGAATGGTTGAGCTTTAGTATGAGATATTCTCTGGAGATCGATCTAATGTGTCTTTCTCTCGATATAGAATTTTCAGTTGAATCCGACAATTGTGTTCATCATATTTAACTGCCTATGTGTGGTATATTGGAATGAAGGATTACCCGCATGAAGGTTTTCGACTTTTCTTCACATTAATTGAAGAAAAATTCATAAATTAAAATTCAAAAGTAGATTGAAGATTTGTTTTGGATGGTACTTTAAAAAAATACATTGCAAGTTCTACTAGAAAGAAAAGCTCTCACTTTTACATTCTAGAATCTGTTTCTTGTGAGTATTAAAGTCACAAGACCATTTCACCGATGAGAACTCATAATCAATAATATTTTAACGAAAACTTTCTTTTGATATTCGAAGAAACAATCATAAGTCGTAGTACTTCACGAAACATAGTAAATTATTTTACATAATCCCTAACTGATTAATTTATGAAATATGATGAGGTTGCCACAGTTATGTAAAAGAAACAAAGGAAGAAACCAAACTTTTTTACATACAAGACTTTAAATGTGTTTCACATCTAAAAACTTGTTATTGGGGCAATCTGAAAAGTGTCTACAATTCGATAGTCGAAAATTGAGGAAATTGAAAATTCGAAAATATTTGCCACTGTCTGTCAGTGCAGGATCGAATGACAAGTCTAAGACGGTATCTCGAGATGGAAAAATGGCTCATTTAATCTTTAAGTTTCAAACCTGTTCCAAACAAACGCGAAGGTCTGAAAGAATTTTTCATTTTCGATATTTTTATTTAGTAATAAAAACAGATAATAGTTGAAAAGTCTTGAAGAAATATAGTTTTGATCTGCATTAAAATTTTTAAACAAGAGTCTTTCAGTCTAGGAAATATTGCGTGAGTTATATCAATCTACAGAGAATATTACAACCTAAAATTCTCAACGATAGATACGAATTGTTTGAGGCTCTTCAGATCACATAGAGTTCTATTTACTACTTATCAATTTAGAATGGAAATTCTTTTGTGTGTTACTTTATCTACCAAACATATGTCTAGTCATTGTACATAGCTCGAGAATAAGTCAGAGCCTTGGGCGTCGACACGATTATACCATACCCTAAAATCAGAAGATTGATTCAGATTGGATTTTAGAAAACTTTATATTTTGACTATGGTTATTACTTACTTTTTATGGTCATTGCATCGATATGGCTGTGGTTGAGATCATGATATAGATCCGAGATAAGTATAATTATCGCATAGATCAGATGCATTATAAGTATCCCAACAGGAATTTTGTAATGTTTTATGTCGTGGATAAACCCAAAAATTATTGTCACGATTAGGATCACCATGGTAAAACTTGTCCGACATGACTGCCTAAAACAATATGTGAAATTTACTTGAAATAATAGTTGCATAGAAAAAGTAGAACTGGCGATTTTTGAAATATCTGTTTCGTGTGAATACAATCTTAGGTAAATGCTTGTGATGGGGTAATACTTGAGAATTTTTTTTTATCCTTCATCTCCAGTCGATTTACATGACTAGTGAACAGAAAAATACTTTGTTACAAAATGATCTTCTAAATATCAATAATGTTCGAGATTCAGCTTATTTTTGGCGAACATCTAATGAGAATCCCCGTACTTGATTAGAATATTTTGTGCTTATATTTTTGTTGATGAGTAGAGTCGGCACAGAAACTTTTCGTATTGACTCTAGAAGAAAAATATGGTAATACAATAGTAGAAAGCAACTGTATCTCAGCCAAAATTCATTCGTAGAAAAAAAGAATCCTATGAACACTACTACTTAAGTAGACTTCTACTGAATGTGTGACATCTAAGCTCAAAATCGTGTAATCCGGCGAGAGATTACAGTCACATGTTTCGAGAATACAAAGTCGATTTTCAACATACGATGATATCACAAATACTAACTGACTATTATTAAACTTTCCTTTGACTAAAAAAGTGAAATGAGTCAGGTGAATTCGTTTTTATTGTTGCTTGCATCTTTCTCTGATTATTGTTTGCACCTTCAATAAAATTCATGTGCTTGTCAAAAATAAAACTACTAGCATAAAAAAAAATGAAAATTGGATGAATACAGAAAAGAAAGAAAGCCCTATCAAGTAAAAATGTTTTTACTTTTTTGATCTCAATTGATATGGTCTTCTTTTACGGCTCTTCGAAAGAAATCTTAAACGCACCACACACTACAAAATACTTGCGACGAAACTCATACAAAGATAACAGAGCAACAAATGACAAAAACTATTTTTGACTGACGATGCCTATTGACAGAAAGGAAAAAAAGAAATCGTCAAGACAACTGGTAGTAGAAAAAAAAGAAAAGGACGAAGAGAAATTTTTTGTCATGGATCTGTTCTTTGATTATTTTTCATCTACTACAAAACATTCGTTGTATACTTATCAGGACGTATAAGTACTCTGTAAAACATGGACCGATGATAATGAAAACGACAACCCATTGCTTGAAGACTTTATTTGTGAGGAAAAAATCGTGTGCAAGTCATAGGTATGAGCAACAGCAAAAAACGTTTTAAATTATTATTAATCTTGTTCCATATAGTTATTCTTGGCGTATAAACATTCGACAACTATGATAAAAATTGGAAGATCTACTCCTATCTTCAACGAAATCAAGAGTATGAGAAGTATAACAAAATACATCGGTGTGGGTCTTGAAAAACAGATCATAGTTGTTTATAATGATATATTTTTCTGTAATTTCGATAGTGTAGTCGCATGCGATGTGAATAATTTGTGACATTAACTTTGTTTATTGATTTATTTTTTTCAAACAAAAAACAAAACTAATCATAAACGAGTTTACATAAGACAAACATTGTATTCTGATTTTTATATACTTGTATAGAATAATTTTTTTTTTCTATTAGAAGTTCTCATTGCCAAGCTGTAATTTTAAGATATTTATCTATTTCCTGGGTTTATTATCATTTGTTGTATTTCTTATTATGGTATCTTGCTTGCACCATAGATCGATGGTTTCATCTCAGCTTTGTTTTAGTCACTCATTTAACAAAGTATCTTTGTACTTGCTTTATAGATTCAGATGTATCTCTAAAATGTATTTGATAGAGTAATAGAAGCAAAAAAAAATAAAATAAAACTCTTTAATTCTTTCATTTTTATCAATTTTACAACATTCCCAAGAATTGTATTGAAGAAAGAGAAATAAAAAATTAAAGATATCCTTATGTCTAAAAAAAACTTATATTTAGATAATTGCTATACACGTGTTTTTTCTATATGACTGATTATTGTACAGCTTGCTATACTCTTGTTAATTTTTTGTATGAAGATAATTTTATCAACTTGAGTATATTCTAGTTTTAGGTTACAACAAAATGAAATAAGAAATAATGGAAATAATTATTTATTTAAAAATTCGACGTTTCGATCATCTAAGTGACCACTTTCAAGAACTAAACCACATACATAAAATAATAATAAACTAATTGAAGCCTGAATACCACCAGAATATAATTAATTTTCATAAATAAAATTTTATAACAGGCAAAATAATAACAAAATCAAATGAAATAAGAAAGAGTGGAAATAGTTATATTATTAGGAAATTTATTTTATTATTATTTTGTGTATGTGTTTGTGGTTTGGTTCTTGAAAATGATCACTTAGATAATCGAAACGTCGAAATTTTTAAATAAATAATTATTTCCATTATTTCTTATTCCATTTTGTTGTTATTATTTTGCCTGTTATAAAAATTTTATTTACGAAATGTTTTTGCTCCTTTTTTCTTTCTTAACATTAGATTATGATTGCCAACCATTGGAGGAGTTCATTTTCTTGGAATTATTCAATAGACTATTCGAAGACTAGAGCAACGATCATAAGGAAGTATCTTTATTCGTTCTAAAATATATTTTGCACTTATAGTGTAATATCTAATGACGACAACTATGAATAGAAAGGACAAAAATATCTTTCAATACTCTTTCGTTGCTCTCCTCCACCATATTCTTACCTGTATATTGCGTTTTTTTCCGCATCATTTCTCATACGACATAATACTTGTTGCACTCTGCTGTTAATGATAAATTTGTCATATTTCGTATATCGATATTTCTCTACTCCATAGTATCACTATTTTTAAACAAGAGAAATCGATAGTTAATAACTTATGTTGCCTTATTTGTATGCTATGTTTCTTCTTTGGCTATTTAGTATTCTATTGATTAGAACAGTGTCTGGATTACAAGGCACTCTTTATCCGTTTGCCAACGAATCTATAGATACCCCGATTGTTTATACGATATTGGGTAGATTTTCTGGTTTAACTATTCGTCAAACGAATGTTTGGACTGGAATTCTTTATGCTGCCCCACCTGTTGGGTCACTTCGTTGGCAAAAAGCACAGCCTTTTGTGAAAAATGACAGCTAAAATGATACAGTCAGAAATGCGACCTATTACAGTCCATCATGTCCTCAAATCATTCGAGTAGGAGCTACATCGGATCCGTTTGATGAAGATTGCTTGTATCTAAATATTTGGACACCTCATACTCTATTACCATCAACATCAACTGGATATCCTGTCATGTTATGGATGCATGGAGGAGGTCTTCAAGAAGGTAGTTCAACGCAAATAATTTATGATGGACTTAGTTGGAAAAATGCTGCTATTCTAGCCAATAAATCATTTATTTTGGTCAGTATCAATTATCGTCTCAATGTTTTTGGATTCTTTACTCAATCGGCTTTGATCGATGATAATGGTCAAACAATTGCAAATCGAGCATTTAGTGATCAACGTATGGCAATGAAATGGATTCAAGATAATATTGGATATTTTGGAGGTGATAAGAATAAAGTTACTCTAGCTGGTCAATCTCGTGGATCTCAATCAGTTTGTATTCATATTATATCACCATTATCAGTTGATTTATTCCATACTGCAATACTCGAAAGTGGATTTTGTGATGCTACATCTTATATGCATGATAAACAGTGTGTGTGTATGGGGGGGGGGGGGGGTGGGTGTGGAAGGGTACGGGTGTAGGTTAGAGTCTGTCGAGTCCAAGAATTTCTGGATCCGGATCCAGATCCGATCCATCAAAAATGTTTGAACTCATACTAATAGTGGTACTTAAGCTTTGAAACTATTCTGATAAAGTTATTAAAGTTAAAGTTAAAGCAGGCATACTTTAAACTTTAACTTTAAAAAAATCAAAGTTAAAGTAGATTTTTTCAGACAAAAATGTTTTTTTTTGCAAAAAATATTGCTTTCATTAAAAATATTATTTTTGTATAAAAAAAACCATTCTTTCACAAAAAACACATCAGTTTCTTTCTCATAAATTTCATGTTTTAGGAAGCAAAAAATTAATTTTATGCAAAAATCCACATTAATTTTAACTCTTTGAATGTTAAATTTTACTTATGTTTCTTTTAACTTTAAAGTAAGGTTAAAGTGTCACACTTAACCAACATCTTATTTATTAATCAATTATAGATCTGGATCAAAATGTACTCTTAAACTCTTAATCAAATTTTTTAATCAAATCTGATAGACGTTTCGAAGATACAACATACTTCTTTCCTTTTATTCTTTTGTTTTATGTTAGACAAGTAACAATCTTATATGTTTTTTAAACGATCCGATCATGATTTATAACAATTAAATTATAATTGGCTCTTACTTCTAGCGAGTAGCTTCGTATGGAATAATGAATATATGCATTAAAATGTTTATATAATTTCTTTTGTTAGACAACTATATCATTATCAACAACACTTGTTTTACTTTTCACAGAATTATATGCATAAAAGTTTTCTTGCGATCCGCACCCAATTAGTAAAAACGTTTAAACTTGGAGCCGGACCCTGATCCGGTAAAAACAAAATTTCTAGACTGGGACTCAACGCAGACCCGATCGAATCCAACGGGCTCTGATGAAGACACTAATGTATTATTCATGATTACTGTGAATATTTGATACTGTTCTCAAAAGGCCAAGTAATACATGTTTTCGGCGAGTTTATTTGGTTAGAATAGAAAATTCTGAAAAAAGAAACAGAAAACATAAAGAGAAAAAATAGTCCAGACTATGAGAATGGGAAACAAACAACTTGAAAATATAGGAAAAGGAAATTAAGTAGGTGAAAATATGAGAGGATAAAGCTAACTAATCGATAATGTTCATTTATGTTGATGATGATTGATGGTAATGTTTGATTTTCGGTGTAGATTTGTGTTTGTGCCATATGTCCTATGGAAAAAAAGTACTCAATTTCATTAGTTCCCATTGGAACCCAATAATCGGAGTGCATACCTGGTTTATTTACAAGAGTACGGTACAAATGTTTTGATTCACTTTGAAGCCAACTTTTAGAGATACTGCTATGGATGGCGACCACAAGACGAGTGAACAGTTCAAAACACGCTTCAATTCCAACATATTATTCATTTTCAATTCAAGTTCTCGAGCTAGTAATATATATGGAGATTAGATGATCAGTGAACAGCTATTATACTTAGACTTCTATTCCAACATATTACTCACTTTGAATCCAAGTTCTCACACCTACTGATATCGGTAGAGATCACATCGCAACTGAACAGTTATGAATAAGATTCAAGTCAAACATTTTGTTTCCTTTGAATTTCTTTTCTAGAGCTACTGATATACATGGAGATCACATGGCAAATGAATACTTCCAATTACAATGCTACTATTCAAACATTTTGCACATTTTGAATCCAAAATCAAGAACTACTGATATATAATGAGGTCACATGACAAACGAGTACTTCTAAGCAGGATCTATTCAGACACTTCTTCACTTTGATTTCAAAGTTTACAGGTACTCATACAAATAGATATTACATGGCAAATGAGAATTTCGTTCTACAAGAGCCTATTCAGCAACTTTTGCTCATTTTGAATTCAAGGACTAGATTTGCTGAAATGCATAAAGACCACATGATAAATCAATACGTTTACCAAGCGTTCCATTCAGATACTGGCTTCTCCATTTGGATCTAGAGTTTAGAGAGACTGATATACATGAAGATCATATGACAAGAGAACACTTGTAATAACCCGGATCTGTTCAGATAGTTTTCTCTTTTTGAATGTAATTTCTCGAGATAGTGATATAGATGGATAATCATGTGGCCATTGAATACTTCTAACAACTGTACTATTCAAACATTTGGCTCATTTTAAAGCTAATTTCTAGCGGTATTAATAAAGGTAGAGATCACATGACAAAAGAATACTTCGAATTACCAGGGTCTTCTTCAAATACTCTTCTCCTTTCGAAACCAATCTCTAGAGGTATGGATATAGATAGAGATCAAATGGCAAATGAATATTTCCAACTAGAATCTATTGAAATACTTTCCTCACTTTGAAACCAATTTCTCGAGATACCCATTAAATGGAGATCGCATGAGAAATGAATACTTCTAGCAAGGCTACTATTCAAATATTTTGCATACTTTGAATACGATTTCTAAAGATATTGATAGAGATAGAGATCAAGTGATAAATGCATATTTCTAACAAGAGTACTATTCAAACATTTTGCAAACTTTGAATTAAACTTCTAGATGTACTGATATAAATTGAGATCACATGGCAAATACATTCATCTAACCAAAAGAAATATTTATTCAGATACTTGCCTCACTTTAAAAGCAATTTCTAGAGTTACTGATAAAGTTGTAGACCACATTGTAAATGATAGTTTCTATGCACGATTCTATTCAAATATTTTGGATAGTTTGAAGCCACGTTCTATAGTTACTGGTATAGATGGGGACCACATGACAAATGATTACTTCTAACAAGAGTGCTATTCAAACATTTTGTTCATTTTGAAGCTAATTTCTGGGATACTAATATATATACAAAGATTATATGAGAACTGTATAATTCTAACTAGGATCTATTGAGATACTTTCCTCAATTTGAAGCCAAGTTCTCATGTTAATGATTTTGCTGGAGATCACATGAATAATGAACGATTGTAAGCAGATTTCTATTCCAACATTTTGCTCACTTTTAAGCCAAGTTCTCGAGTCAGTGATTGCAATGGAGATCTATAGCAAATGATTGGTTTTAAGGAGGCTCGTATTCAAATATTTGACTAATTCTGACGTCAATTTGTAGAGCTAATGATACAGATGAAGATCACATGGCCAGTGAATACTTCGTAAGAGGCCTTCATTCAAATATTTTGCTCACGTTGAATTGGGTTTCTAGATGTACTAATACAGATGGAGATCAGGTGCAAAATGAGCACTTCTAACAAGGGTACTATTGCAACATTTTGTTCATTTTTAAACTAATTTCTGGAGATTGTGACATAGACGGAGATCACATGGCAAACGAATAGTTCTAAGCACGAGCCTCCTATGTTCAGATATTATGACGTTGATTATATGTGGTTTTATATGCTTCGCTCAGAAGTCCAACCTCATTGAAAATGAACAAACTGTATCATTTTTGATTTGAGAAGATAGAAGACCATCGCTTTTCCCACCTTCATTTACTCCCGTCTGTGCCATGCTGTTTGTAGCCACCAGGAACATAAAGATTATCAAACAAACCGATTGGTTCATCTTATGCATTGTTGTCAGTTAATGCACAACGCTTGAGAAGAGTGGTAGACAAATATAACTGAATATGTAGATACATGCTGATACAGTTGCGTATGGTCTTTATATATACATCAGAAGCACAGTACGACAAAGGAAGTAAAAAAACATCGACGAAAAAAGAAGCGGAACTGATAGCGTATTTTACGGTAATGGCGCAGAAAAATTAACTGACAATTTGCATCTCATTTGATTCATCATATTTTGAGAAAATGACGGGTCAACAAGTTGATTTTGAATTACCTGATATTGGCGCATTTGTGTATGAAAAAAAGCTTGTTAGTGCAGCTCCTTTGGAGCTGAAATGTGGAACTCACGTATACGCTTCAACCTTGTTATCCTAATATATCATCTGTAAACTGAAAAATTTCTGAAATATAATATATATAAGTAAATGAACGACTTAATATTGAAATATAAAACTTTTTATTTTATTTTAACAGCAGAGAAAATGTTTTGTAATTGACAATATCAGCTAAGAAAGACTATCGAAAATGGCAGAATTTACTTTTGCAGTTTTTCTGCAAATGTGAGTTCTGTCATTTTCGATAGTTCTTCTTAGCTGATATTGTCAATTACAAAACATTTTCGCTGCTGTTAAAATAATAAAAAAAAAGTTTTACATTTCAATATCAAGTCGTTCATTTACTTATATATATTATATTTCAAAATAACTATGGCAGCATATGTGGACGCATTTCGATACTAAGTAAAGGATTATTTTCAATGTATCTCGAAGAGATCGAAGATAAAAAGAAAAAGAATGTATAATAATGTCATCCTATAGTAAAAACAATAGTTTGCTAGTTATAAACAGCCTATATGTATACTATACGAAGAAGGGTAATTCCACATGAATTCAACCGCCGATACCGAAGTAGTGACCGATTTCGATGAAACTTTCAGGGTTTCTAAAACTTTTATTTCTAAGAATTTTGATAAAAAATTTTTTTCGAAATACTTTTGTTTTGACTGAAACAAGTCCAAAATACTGAAAATAGCAAAAATCGATGTACAGTGGAACAGCAATTTTTGAAAAAATTGCTCACAAATAGTTTTCGGCATATTTTTATACCAAAGCAAGGTCAAAAATAAAATCCAAAGATATATTTAGATTCCTTATGAAAAGGCGCACTTAACCATACTAAATATGACCTTAATTTATAAAAAAAACCGAGTCTAAAATATGATGTTAATAATTATCAACTGCACAAAAATTAGTGCTATTCAGAGCATTCTTGTGCTCAAGATTTTTCAAAAAAGCCGAATTGCTCGATATGGTGGCATAGTGTATTCGATAGAGTTTGACTTGAGCTGCAATCTTAGTAATACAGAATTTTCAGCGTTTTTACTAATGGTGAAATAATCGATCAACTTTAAAATATATTGAATTTTCGTATATTTCTAAAATACTTTTTCAGATGCAAATCCATAGCCTTTAACACTTGATTACTTTCAATTGCGATGAAATTTTGGGGATTTGTAGAGCTTTTAATCCTCCGAATTTTGATAATAAAACTTTTCCGAAAAGCTTTTGTTTTCACTAAGATAGGTTCAAAATACTGAAAGCAGTAAAAAACTATGTATTTTCAAAAATCATTTTTTACGACAATTTCACACGTTTTCTTAGATTATGTCACTAAAGCAAAATCAAAAATAAAATCCAAGGACATATTCAAATTCGTCATAAAAAGGCGCGTCTAGCCATACTGGGTACAACATCAGGTTAAAAAAATCAAGTCTGGAAGTTTCTCTGATTAGTCTACTATGATACAAAAAGCAGTAGTATCTACAGAATTCTTTCGGCAATGAAAGTTCGATAGAGCTTAATTGTTATAATCATTAGGATAGAGTATCTTATAGAGCTTAAATAGCTCTACAATCCTGATAATACAGAATTCTCAGCGTTTTTGATGGAGCTTAAATTGTAGACCAAGTTTCGTTTACCACTATCTTGATCTTTGATATCTCTACCACTCAGGGTCCCTTGAGTAACCAGTTAAAGAACAAGTATACAAAATAATGCCAACCTCAGATGTGCATTGAACAATAGTTCGTTGTATAGCACAGCGAGTTTCCTGTTAATTAATAAAAAGAATACTTCTTTTAGTAGCTGTGTTATAAGTATCTCATTCACAAATTGATGATTTAGATGAAAAAG